TCCCTAACCTATCATTCCAAATCCTTGATAGCTGAAATAGAGCAAGATACCAGAAAAACAAGACAGCAAAGGATTTCAGGATGGGAGAGGCTGCCTGGGTTGGTATCTTGCTAGAAGAGAAACAGCCATACTGTTCCTTCTCTCCCATTGAGATTGGGGATAGTCTGCGACTGGGCTTGGCTGGCACAGCACTGCCGTCTTGGAATAGAAAACCCAATCTCAAGCTATTTTTCTGCGACATGCCACCTGTGCTGGACTAGTGGATACACTGAGAGGCGACATGCTTTTCAGCTCAGTGAAAGATAGTCTGTGTGTCTCAAACTGAGTAACAACTGCCAACATTTTCTTCAGTGATCCCTCTACTAGTATATTAGCTCTCAGCAGAGTACAAGAAAGCCTCACTGCTCTTATCAATGGAGGTACTTGCTATCTTGTTTAAGTTTAAAAATATAAAAAGGCGCAAGATGAATCATGAGAATGATACATTAACCATAGTTTATTCCAGGTGAGGGAGGGGGAGGGAGGGAGGGAGGAAGGGAGGGAGGGAGGGAGAGAGAGAGAGAGAGAGAGAGAGAGAGAGAGAGAGAGAGAGAGAGTCAGACAGAGACAGAGATAGACAGGAAAGTTAGAGAGACAGAGAGAGTGAGAGAGCAAAGAGAGAGAGGAAAGCAAGAGAGGGAAGTAAGTGGTTGGGGTCTGTCTTTTAAAGGGGACCTTTACACCTGTGTGCAGACTTGGTTCCCATGGAACCCTGGGTACTGCCTGAGTGGATTCTGCCAGGTAACTGGGGCCAGGCCAGCATAATGTCTGAACCTTTCAGTACTCAGTCAAGTGGATATTGATCCCTGAAGTACGTGCCCATGGCATTCCAAAGTTTTGAACCTGTCTTAGTTAGGATTTCCATTGCTGTGAAGAGACACCATGACCATGGCAACTCTTATAAAGGAGAACATTTAATTGGGGCTGGCTTATAGGTTCAGAGGTTTAGTCCATTGTCATCATGGTGGGAAGCATGGTGGCACACAGGCAGACATGATGCTGGAGAGGTTCTAGGTCTGGGTCAGCAGGCAGCAGGAAGAGAAAGAGTGACACTGGGCCTGGTTTGAGCTTCTGAAACCTCAAAGCCAGTGATATACTTCTTCCAACAAACCCACACCTACTCCAGCAAGGACACACTTCCAATAATGCTACTCCGAGTCTGTGGGGGCCACTTTCATTCAAACCACCTTGTAAGAATGCTAGATTAATTAACATTAACTTTTCAACTCCAGTTTTGGGGTTGGTTTTGCACAGCGTTAATGATCACTTTAACGACACAGAGTGTAGTGGTTTGAATGAAAATGGCCTCCATAGGCTCATATATTTGAACAGTTGGTCCCCAGTTGGTGGAACTGTTTGGAAAAGACTAGGAGGTGTGACATTGTTGGAGGAGGTGTGTCACTGGGGATGGGCTCTGGGGTTTCAAAAGCTCATGTCTTGTTAGCTTTCTCTCTCTCTGCCTTATGGCTGTTGTCTCAACATACAAGCTCTCCGTTACTGCTCAGTGCCATGCCTGCCTCCCTGCTGCCTTGCTTCTAGTGGTGATGGTTATGGACTAACAACTGCAAGCAAGCCCCCAGTTAAATGCTTTCTTTTATAAGTAACCTTGGTCACAGTGTCTCTTCATAGCACTAGAACAGTAAGACACAAAGTATCCAGTGAAAATATGAAAAAGTTTCTCCTTGGTTCTTACTCCTCCACAGCTCCTTGGGGCCTTTGGGGGAGTCTTTGGCTATGCCTCAATGGCTAATGGTCTTCATGATCACCCACCCTAGCTCACATGAGCATCTGTCTGCTGTCTTTGCTGTCACCATTCTCAAATGGCTTGTCCCGATAAGTTGATTTCCTGGGATCCTGGCACTGAAAATCAAGGCAGCCAGGCATCAGAATCTTGTCTTTGGTGTCCTTTTCACGGCTGAAGATTGCACTACAACCCTGGCCAGCTGCCTTGCAGAGATAAGTGACCGTCACAAGGAAAACTGTATGAGCCATGGATGATCAGGTGACCCTCATTCCTACTACAAAAGCCATGTGTTCATCTGGAAGCAGATCAGTACCACTTTCTCTCGTAAAAAAAAAAAAAGAATCGGCATGCTCATTATATATGCAGAGCTGTGGAGAAATGTGACAGGTGACAGGCCCAAGTGCTGCTTCTCTGAAGATGTCATTCTGCTTCAGATTTGGTCCTGGACTTTATGAATTAAATGCTGTCACTTCTCTATAAGCTAGACATGTGCAGAGTCCTGACTTCATTTCTCTTTAGAACAGATTCTAGCTATTTTCATCTGCTTCCATACTTCTGTTAGACAAACCACTCTCACAGATGTAGTAAAAATATTAATAATTGAAACCACTATGAAGATACACCAGTCATATGCATACGGACTAAATCAAATAGAATATGGAGAAATATTCTATGATGTGAAAAATACTTTGTGTGTATACAAACGCATTTAGAGGCCATAGGTGCCTAAACTGCTGCTCCTCAGGTGCCACCATCTCTGTTTACTTTCTCCCCTCAGGGTCTCTCACTGGCCCAGAACTCACCAAGTAGGCTAGGCTTGGCCTCCCTGGTTGCTGGGATTACAAACTGTGCTGCCACACCCAGCTTATTTTCCTGCCCCATTGCTTCTGGGCATTGAATTCAAGACCTGTGTTGTGTTTTCAAGACAAACACTTTATAGGCTGTGCCATATCCATAGGCCCCCAAAAGAAAAAGAAAACAACCTATAATTCCTGGCACTAGAGTTCCTTTGGGGAGGGCACTTTCTGTGTCTATATAGGAAAATACTTTGGTAACCAGGTTAGCAATGGTAGGTAGTCATGAAAACACTGGCTGGGAGATGGAAAAATACTGCAGAGAGAAGACGAGGATGGCACAGTGGGCAGGGGTGGGCAAGCTGTGGTTTCTGTTGAAGGTAGGAGTTGGTGGATGGAAATGCCATGGCAGGAAACAAAGGACCTTTAAGAGAAAGGATTTCTAATTTTACTTGTGTGTGTGTGTGTGTGTGTGTGTGTGTGTATTTCATTACAAATCACCTACTCCAAACCGTCAGAAAGGTGTGTTTTGCAAACAAGCAAAGAGAGGGGGTTGATTTTTTAGGGGGAGAGAGATTGGGGGGGGGGAGGAGTTGCAGGTAAGATGTAAGATGTGAGGAAGCCTTAAGTGCTCAGGGAAAGAACTCTGAACTAGAGGTGACCCGGAGACCGTGTCCCCCATGGACAGTACACACACAGACTGGGCGTCCCCACAGAGGCAGGCAAGAGACTTGAACCAATTTTAACAAGACCTCCGTGACAGGTGATGTTGACAAACTGTAGTGTGCTTTTCAACCCTTTGCTTCTCCACTTTTTTGAGACAGTTTCACTTGTAGCCCAGGTTGACCTCAAATTTGAGGTAAGCCTCCTGCCTCAGTCCTCCAAGCTCTGAGACTGCAAGTGGTTGTGAGTCACTATGCCCAGCTCCATCATAATTTATCTCTGACAGGCTTTCACACATCCCAAGCTGGCCTTTAACTCTGTGTAGTGGAGGTTGATCCTGAACACCCAGTGCTCCTGCCTCCATTCTCCTGGGGTTACAGGTATGTGCCACCCCGCCCCATTTATATGGTGCTGGGGATCAAAACCAAGGCTTCATGCATGCCAGATAAGGACTCTAATGAATGAGCTGCATGCCCAGCCCTAATTACTCAAAAGACATTATGAGAAAATATATAGGCCAGTAATTCACTTCTCCTTTTATTAATTTCTTAATTTCCTCATCCATAAAAGCTGGAGATTGGGCCTATATAAATATCCCCAGGGTTTCTATTAGAGCTCCGACATTACACTCCCTTTGAGGTAAATTTGAATACAATAAAACCTACAAATCTTAACTGCTCCATTCCATGTGTTCTGACAACTACAGACACTTCCCTGACCTAAATCTTTAGCAAGATACATAGTACTTTTTAATCAGTACAGGACAGCTTCTCACTCTGCCAAGCCACCTTCAATGGTTAGCCAAATATTTGGACTTTTATCACGACTGTATTAACTAATCTCCGAAAGCTACTGTGAGGTACTGCTTCATCAGTATTAAAGTTTCTCACAGGAACGTAGGGATAGCTCCATTTTGCAGACTAAAACGTCAGAGCAGATAGGTAAGGTGCCAGAGTCATCAACTACCAAGCAGTTAGCAAGGACGCTCTGTGAGAAGCCCAGATTGTTAATTCCGGCCCATACTATGCTGACGATCCTGGAGAATCGGCAAACGACTGCCTAAGATACATTATAGCTTCGAATTCTCTGGGTGGGGATCAGTGCCATTTATGAGTTCCAACGAGTCCCGAATATTCCTGAAGGCTGTGTGCACACGCCATCTTTTGCAATGGCTCGCTCTCACTCCACTCCTCGGAGAAAGTCAGGAGGGGCCTCCAGTCCACAAGGCTGGTTCTCAGCGAGATCTGGTACTTAGACCGAGAAGCCGCGTGCTCTGCCGCCGCACAGGTCCCGCACGAATGTGGCAGGTGCAGCACGCCCTGCCTAGGGTCTCGGGCTCATTATCTTGACAGGTGAGGTCGCAGTGCTCTCAACATTGGCCCCTGCACACCCTTCCCCCATTGCCCTGCTTCCCAGGCTCCTCCCAGAGCTGACTCAGCCTCACGCCCTCCCCGCAGCGCTGCCGGGTGCCCCGCCCCGCCCCTTGACAGCCCTGACCAGCAGGATCTAGTTGGTGAGCCCGAGGGGTCGGCGTGACCGAGAGAGCCGGGCTGCGGCGCCCAGGTGGGCAGTCACTGTACGCATCCCCCAGGTGGCCCTACATTAGGCTGCTCCCTGGGAGGAAAAATCCGAGAGCCGCAGGGGGACAGTAGCCCCGGTCGCGGGGCATCATGGGTCTTGTAGTTTAGCGATTCTTCAGGCTCACCGCCTCCGCTGCGTGACTCGGTCCCGAGAACTACAAAGCCCAGCAGTCCAGAGCGCGGCGACTGATTGATAAATTGGGAGCGGACTGGAGAGCGTTAATGGGGCTCTTTGTCTGCAGGGGGCTCCGGGGTGGTCGCTGAAGCGGGCAGTGTGCGCCGGGCTGGGGACGCGCAGGTGAGCGGTGGGCTTCAGTGCTGAGCTCGCAGCCACCGCACTCGCGGCCCCGCCCCATCGCCACCGCGCGGGGCCTGGGCCTCCTAGGGCGCTGCCTCTCGGTGCAGAACCGTATGTATGGCACAAGGTTGATGAGAGACCCGAAGAACCCGTCATTCAAAGGCCCTTTGCCTTTCCCCGTGAATTTCTAGGTATTTCTGCTTATTTTCAAGTAGCTCAGAGCTGTTGGCATATTAAACCCATTCATTAGTGTGTGTTCAGAGGACAGTAATATTTAAAAGGATAGGCGTGAAAACGAATGAACGATGCTACTGTTATCTGGCGGTGTCTGGTATTTTTTTAAAAACCGTTTTGCATTTTAGCTATGATGTTCAATATTGTGGAATAATGACCGCCCCTTCCCCCTCTGCTCCCTATTCACAAGCCCACACATCTTTGGTTCTCCTTTGAAGTCCAGTTAAATTTTAAATGGTTAGTTTAACTTTTAAAGCAAATAGTTCTTAAAGACAATGTGTGGTATTATTTTTCTTCGTTACCCTAAATAATTTTTTAAAAAGAATTTCTGAGGAGCGTGTTTTCACAATGAAACATGCTGTGTCCTGTCTTATAAAAACTTACTACTATTTTTAAATGCCATGCTATGGAACACAACTTAGCCACAAGAGCTGAGTCAAAGACCTAGTGGGAAGGAAGCAGACAGATCTGGAAAATTGGCCCTCAGCATCCTTTAAATTAAGGTTTTCAATAGATAACCTCACATTTGGTGTTGTATGGGGTAAGTTGGGACATTCTTGACAGTGTTGTAGACTTTTGAATGTGTGTGTTTTGAGAAATAACAGCAAAAATAAGACCAGGAGCACTAAACTTATTTTTCTCTCAATTGTGCTGATGTCTTTAAATTTCAAAGTAGTGGGGTTTTTTTTTTTCTTTTGATTTTGTTTTTTGTATAAGGAGGTAAAATAGTAAGGCTGTGGGGGTGGAGGAGAGATCTTATATAGTGTAGAGATTTGAGGTATTACAATTATTCATTAAAAGAAATGGAAGACTGTTCTACTGCCAGCTGTTAAGTCAATTGGTGGGACTAAAGAGATGAATAGAAGATAGCTGTCTCCTACAGGGGCACACACTCATTTCCTCACAATTGAGTGATTGAAACAATAATTTCAACGAAAATGAGCCCCGTTTACTGGCTACTTATCTATGTGGGGCACTATTTAAGTGTCACAAAGAAAATGTGAAGCAGTTACTGTTACTTATCGATGATGAAATGGGTTCAGAGAGCTTGTCCAAAGTCAGGAAACGGAGACTTCAACCTAGGCGTGTCTAACTCAAGACCCAATCACCAGTGTGGTTACAACAACCACTTAGGAAGGCTTGCGGCTGTCCATGGAGACCAGGGGAGACCTTTGGTATATAGTGTAGAACTGGTTCAAAAGTAAACATCTTGTATCCACAATCATGAGGAATATTGGCATGTAGTTTCCTTATGTCTGGTTTTAGAATCAGTGGCAGTCTTCAAATATGAATTGAAAGTATTTTTGCCTCTTTCTGGAGAGTGTCTTTAGTACTCGGTAGAACTCGAGTATAAAGCTGTTGGGCCTGGAGTAGTTTGGGGAGGTCTTAAACAACAACCTCAGTCTCCCTGACTGATACAGGACTGTTGAGATGGCTCTTAGTTTTTCTGGAGTAGGTTTGGTGTGTTGTGACCTCACAGACTTGTCAGTGAGCTGTTTGGCCTTTCACTCTCTTTGAAGTTTGCTGTGCTAGCCCTCTTTCATTTCTGATTTTGGCAATGTTCCCCCTTTCTCCACCCAGCTTCACTAGATGCTTGTTCATTTTATTGAACTTTCTGAAGAATATCCCATTGGCCACATTGGAGTGTTTTATATTGTTTTTCTGCTTTTTTTTTCTTTTAAATTTGATTGATTTATTCACATTCTATTTTATTTTAGTGACAGGGTCTCACTCTGTAGCTTTGGCTCACTAAAACTCACTATGTAAACCTGACTGGCCTCGAATTCAGAGATCCACCTCCTTGAGCCTCGGCATGCTGGGATTAAAGTCATGCACCACCTCTGTTGGCATGATTTCTTCTCTTTGTTATGTTTCCCCTTCCTGCCTCTCTGGAGTTTAATTTCCCCTGTCCTGAAACGAAAGGTGGTAGCACTGGGCAGGCACCAGCAAACTGCAGGCCAGGGGCCAGTACCCGGGCAAGCTATTCTTGAATGGCCCATGAACTAGGGATGACTTTTGCCTTTTTCTAATAGATGAAGGGAAAAATACTTGATAACTCATAGAAATGGGCCAGGCGTTGGTGGTGCATGCCTTTAATCCCAGCACTCGGGAGGCAGAGGCAGGCGGATCTCTATGAGTTTGAGGCCAGCCTGATCTCCAGAGCGAGTGCCAGGATAGGCTCCCAAGCTACACAGAGAAACCCTGTCTCGAAAACCAAAACCAAAACAACAACAACAAAAAACTCATAGAAATGGAAGGAGATTCAGATTTCAGTGTCTACACATCAGTTGTATTGGGATGCAGCCACACTCCGCTGTTGATGTACTGCTCATGGCTGCCTTTCTCTGGAATGGCAGAGTTAAGTGTTTGTGTCTGAGATTGAGTAGCATTTGCATAGTCCTTATTCAAGTGCCTGATACGCTGTCAGCAAGTCTTGGTGCTGAACTCGACACCTAATTTGTTTTTATCAGTGCGTACTCATGCCAGAACAAGAAAAGGTAGAAAAATGTATTTGGAATGTTAACTTTTGAGCACAGCGAGTCGGAGGACGAAGCAGTGTGCTTGTGCAGTGACACGGGGGCTGCGCTGAAGAGGGACAGTCAGTACATACCACGGTCACCAGAGTAAGCACAGTACAGCATAAAGAGGGACAGTCAGTACATACCACGGTCTCCAGAGTAAGCAGAGTACAGCATACCCACGTTGCCTGAGAAAGCAAAGGCCAGTCGAACCAGCAAGCTTTAACACGGATGCCCTCTTCCAGGAGAATCTCTTCACAGAAGGGAAAAATGTCAGTGAAGGAGTGCTGCCGGTCAGTTTACAAATGGCTCATTTGTTAGCCAAGCGAGGAAATCGTCAACCAATGTTGGGAGTTGGCTTGCAGCAGGGGCAGAATTGTGTCTGGAGAAAATAAACTTGTTTAAAATGATTAGCCTTTTGGCACGGACATTTGCTCCAAGCGTTGAGGGCACCATTAATCAATTAAGAACCCAAGGAAATGATTTTGCGTGGTTTTTCTTGGCTCTTGATGAGATGGCAGATGCTAGCAATACTGCTCAGTTGTTTATTTGGGAAGTTGACACTGAGCTTGAAGTGACTGAAAAGTGAGTCTGAACAAACATTGTGTGTTGGGGGTGTTGAGGACACATACAGTGTTGTCAAGACATCCAATATCAATTTCATACAACCGGAATATTCAAAGATGTGTTAGAAGGGAGGCTGTAAACATCCGTGAGAACGGAAATGAGCTCAGATGGACATAGTTACGATGCTGTGAAAATGTGAGCTAGGTGAAGCTTGTGGTCACCTGTTGTTAATTCTTTGGTGTTTTTCGGATATATTTATATCCGAAATATTAGTAGTATGGGTCCATGCTATATGTAGTCAGGGTCCATGCAGGGTCAGTATTTGGAATTCCCATACGGAATTAGCTGTTGTCAGTTCCACGGGTTTGTGTCAAGAGGAGGACAGCACCCTCCTTGCCTTAGCTACACAGCCGCCTGATGGCTTAGCAATAGCCAGATTTTGTGCTTAGATAGAGGTAGGGAGTTGTCAGAATGAGAGGTATTGCCCTCAGCCACTCTTATTGAACACCAAGTGGCTTGCTTTTGGCATAAACTTAGTCATATTTCTTAATGAATTCACCCTACACCAAGACAGAACAGGTAATTATATCAAAACCAAGACTGCAGCAAAATTATTAAATTATTGGCTATGCCAGTTAGTGTTTCTACATACTATCAATGTTGTTCAGCTTTCCATGTAGTGAGAAGGTAAAACAAGTGACATCTCCATATCCTCCCCCCCCCAAGGGTTTCTCTATGTAGCCCTGACTGTGCTGGAACTCTCTCTACTGTAGACGAGGCTGGCCTTGAACTCAGAGATCCTCCTGCCTCTGCCTCCTGAGTGCTGGGATTAAAGGCTTATGCCGCCATGGTCTGGTTGACATCTCCATTCTTATTCATAGTGGCTGTCAGTATTCTTTTGAGCTCAGACTGGTTTTAGCATCATTTTCCAGACTTTGAATTAAATTTCCATATTAGCTATCCATTTAACTGTGTTTTTGAAGTTCCTTTCAGCTTAATCATTAATTGGTCTTGAATAATCTGTAGAATACATTATTTAAATACTCTCTGAACAGTGACTATGCTGACCGGAAATCATATGGCTACAGTTTGCTAACATTAGGTGGAAGGACCAAACTGGCTTACCCTGATTCTTTCAAGAAAAGACTTCACAGATGAAATACATATAGTATTACTAAAAACCAGCATTAATGACATGGCGCTTGTGTTTGGCAGTGGGGAACTAAATCATAAGCTTTGAAGAGAGTTGATTTTCATTAGGATATCTGCTTTACAGAGTTACTGTTATCTGTTTTTAATTTTGTCATTACAGAATGTAGAAACTTTTATCTTGTAATTGTTTACATATTATCCTCTATTTTGCTTGTTAGTCCTTAGGACTCGAATGCTTGTCTGAACCTTTACAAAAAAAGGATGTCAGGCCTTTTGTTATATCAAAATATTTTTCCTACATAATGGTATACCTGTACATATTAGCAGAATTAATACAAGTAATTTGCTGGACAGCAACCTTAGAAGAACCTTGCCCCCACAGGTTTATTCATTGAGGCTTAGCTAGTCATGAAATAAAGAGTCAAACCTTTGTGACAGATAGGAGCGATGCAAAGCTTATGACTCTCACTGTTTTGGGGTTTAGTCAATGGTAGCTGCCTCCATACTTCCGGTTATTTTTGAGGTAGTTAGTGCATTAGGACAGAAGGGCATGGCGACCTCAGGGAGCAAAGAAAATATGTGTCCCTTTCTGTCCGGGTCCCCAGCCTGTGAGATGCTGCCACCCACATTCTTCCCAAGGTTGATTTTTCTCAGGAACATTCTCCTGGATAGACTCAGAGAAGTAATTACTGATCTTCAAGGCACTTGTTTAAATTTTTTTTTTAATGTATGATTGTGGTATGAATGCATGTGTGTGTGCATGTTTGTAAATGTGTGTTTAGGTGCACTGGCATGTATGTGAACCGATCATGTGGTGGTCAGAGAGTGACGTCAGGGTTCTCATCCTTTGCTTCTCACCTTTTATACTGAGGCAGGGTTTCTCACTTGAGCCCAGAGCTTGTTGTTTCCACTGTCTACCTTGGGAGAGTTGAGCTACCCAAACCACAGTATAATTCCCTAGGAAGGGAAGAAATACTTCTATTTTCTTTTTAGACATTTAATTGGCTTGCTGTTTCAGGAGATAGTAGGGCAATTTGTACTCTTCCTAGGGCCCCCTCCTTGGTATTTCGGGACTTTCTGTGCTTATTGTCTTGGGAGGAAAGTGTCTTTGCTGAGAAGCCTTGGGTAACTAGGAGACTTGGGAAAATAGAAAAAAGCCAGCATTGCTGAGCTGAAGCACTGGCCTAGAAACCAGAAGCTCAGAGGGCATTCCCAGCATCAGATGGATGGATCTGATAGGATAGTGTCAAATAGGATGGGGAGATGGCTCAGTGGTGGAAGGAGAGAGCTCACTCATGAAAGTTATCTGGCCATCTCTTCCCTATACTAAATGGATACATAATGAAGGAGAAGGACAAATTGAGATGCAGAACTCTCTCACAGTTTAATTCATACTTAGCTTTGCTGTATGATGCAGTTATGGTATCTAGATGATGATGGACATCCATAGGCTTCCTCCAAAGTATAACCTGAAGTGTGACTTCTTACTCCTGGGGGTCCAGGAGTCTCAGCTAAAACAGCCAGTATTCATGCATGGCTTTTGATGTTATAAAGAAGTAGCCGAGCAGAACAGACTCTCGTGGATCTATCTGACTGAGTTGGTAGCAATTATAAATGAACAAGGAGCACTCATGTCCACTTCTCCCCATAAATCAACCAACCAGTTGTGTATCATGTAGGTGGCTCTCCCTGTTACTTCCTTGGATGTTCTGTGATCTTCTGTGTACTTAGAGAATTGGAAATTTAGTTCAGCATTAAGGCTATTTTGACTCTCAAAACTAGTTTGATGCATGTGTTACAAAATTGATAACTTTTAAAATCAGTGCTAAGAACCTTAAAAAAAGCATTGTATTTTATTGTTCAGGTATCTGAAAGAAGATGAATTTGGCAGAGATTTGTGACAACGCGAAGAAAGGGCGAGAGTATGCACTTCTGGGAAATTATGACTCATCAATGGTGTATTACCAGGGAGTAATACAGCAGATCCAGAGACATTGTCAGTCAGTGAGAGACCCGGCTGTCAAAGGGAAGTGGCATCAGGTAGGACAGCTCACGAGTGTTCCATGCACCATGACAGTCATGCTCTGATAATCTAAGGAATCAGAGCTGGGAAATTAGTCAGAGAATTTACACATTCTTATTGGTCTGTATACTGAGATACATTTCACACTTAACTCTATATGCGGTTCTGGTAGACTACCTACTCAGTAGTCTATGTATTTCTGACCATACATTTTAATCTTTGAGGGTACTTAATTGTAGTTGAAGGTTTTCTTAATTTTTTAAAATGTTTGTGCCCAATTGTATCTGCCAACAAATTTTAAAAATTAGGTATTTCTTGTTGCTGTCTCTCCTTTCATTTTTGTTTGTAGTTTTGACCTATTTCATAAAAGTTTTCCTTGAAAGTCTCCTTAAAAACACAAATGGGTTGGTAATCTAATAAAGGCACTAACATCATTTCTGTCTTTTTGACTGTACAACTTGATTATATAATAGTACAGTTAACGCAAACTTGAATTATAATTTCCCCAATTACTGTTGTAACTTAAAATCCTTTTAAAATTAAAAGTACAAAGTCAGACAGCACTTTGAAGTTTCTGTTTCATCTGGTGCCTTTCCAGAGCACTCCCCCCCCCCCCCCCCCCCCCCCCCCTCCCCCCCCCCCCCACCCCCCCCTGCTTCACTAAGTTTTGAGGGTAAATTGGGCTCATTTTCCACTGTAAGATTTACCAAATTGCATTGAGTAAGAACACCACACTTGCTGTAACTTGGGCTGAAATTCTTGGGTCTCCAGTTTTTCTTGCCTCTCACAGGCAGGATGCTTGTGTTTCGTGGTGGGGAGTGTTTCTCTTGAGATATTCCTGTGTGCACTTTACAGGGGTCTGGCATGTACTGCTCCTATGTGCACTTTACAGGGGTCTGGCATGTACTGCTCCTGTGTGTTGTGTCATACGGCCACACATGTTGGCAGTTCCCTTTCACTAGGGTCTTTCTTTGGCTCTGCAGTTTCTTTTCAACATACTGTTCCGGGAAAATTTCTTCTGCTCTGCTTTGGAGTTCAATGTGCTTTCTGGTTAAAAAATTACTATAATTGTTAAAATCGAGTTTATAAATACAACTTTTCCAGCCATTGCTTGCTTTTGAGAATTAACGTGGGTATCAAGTTTGAAGACAATACTTTGCATATGGTAGGTACTCAGTTATGTTTGTCAAATGCAGGGAAAATCTTGACGTAACTCCAGATAAACCTTGCCCAGGACTCAAAAGAGTTGGAGGTGAAAGGGATCACAAATAAGGGTGGGTGGGTGATCCTTAACAGCATCCGGCAGGGGCCAGACTCTCAGGACAAGCATTTCATACTTCATGACAGTGGGGATGGGAAATGGGGTGACAATTTTGACCAATGTTATTTTAATCTCTAAGAATATTGAAAGATTTAGCATAGTATCTTCAATGTCTGGGGCGAATAAGTTGTTACTGATTTAAATGCTTGTTTGAAGCTATTTTAATAATCAGCTTTTCTTTTGTGACGAGGTATGCGATGCAGCCGCTGCCCTCACAGCTCTTTGCTTCTCTCTATCACTCTGAATGGCTGTTGATCACGTTTCTGTGACTCGTTTTTTGCAGACTTTGCCTGACACTGAGAAGGTTTACACTCTGTAGTCATCTATTTGGACTTTGTGTGAGCTTTGAGCAGCTTCTAACATCATGCATGGCTCTTTCTTAAGGTACGACAGGAGCTCTTGGAGGAATACGAACAAGTGAAGAGCATTGTCAGCACGTTGGAAAGCTTTAAAGTCGACAAGCCCCCAGATTTCCCTGTGTCCTGTCAGGATGAACCATTCAGAGACCCAGCAGTGTGGCCACCCCCTGTTCCTGCAGAACACAGGTAAGTGAGACTTGGAGTGTAGCTTTATTTGAACAGTTTTGCAGAAGCATTTGGGGGCTTATAAACTTGATATGCTTATCATGTTTGTTCCTTGTAGGGGTCCAGAGCTTGTGTTTGGTAAAAGAAGAGGTGAATCTGAGCCATGCCCTTGCTCACTATGACCTTATGGTTGTCACTATAACGGGTGTCTGACAGCTTAGTGGTTAAGAGAAGTCTTTTAGATTAGCACCACACGTTGGTGTTTGTTTGGGAAGACTGACCCCTTCCAGTGAGTAGTGGGGAGACTGGCTTGATCTGGTTGGGCTGCCAGTGCCTTGGTGGAGAAGGGACACCTGTAATTTTCAGTGGCCTAACATTGCTTTAAAGGTCAGACTACTCAGGGGGGCATATAAGGCTTTTTTTCCCATCAACCTCTCTGATCCTCTCCCTCCCATTGCTCTTTCCTGTCTTCTGTGTGTGCACATGTGCTCTTTCTCCAAGGAAGCCCTGGAATTCACACCTCTAAGCTGCCCCTCTTCCTCAGGTCTGGGTCACCCGACTGCAGCTTGCAGTTTGTTTCTTCAGGGTTAGAGGGCAAGTGATGGAAGGCAAGGGCCAAGACTTTGTTTACTTAAAAACCACACAACAAAGATCCTTTGCTAACACAGAGGCTTGCCCAGGGTAGGAGTTTTACACTGACTGATCAACGAGTTAAGTTGATGAGTTAGGAGACTGAGGCCTGGGGGACCTGGATGTATGAGTTAGGTTAGGCTGGGATCTGAGATCAGGTCGTTGGGCTTTCCTTCTGTCTCTTGCATTGTGAAGTGGTGCTGTGGGCCGAGCATTGTCCCATAGGAAATACATTTTCCTTTTGCCAGTAGCTGGGGTCATCTGTTTAACTATCTGCTCTTTCAAAGTTTTCAAAAAACATTTAAAGGATTGTGAAAAATGGTTAATTTTTTTGTTGTTTTGTTTTAAGACAGGGCCTTGCTGTGTAGCCCAGGCTGTCCTGGAACTTGCCATGTAGCCCAGGCTGGCCTTTGTCTCTGATTCTCCCGAATTAGGGTCCCACATGCGAGGATTACGTTCTGCACCATCTCAGCCACCTAAATTCTTTCAGATTTTTTTCTAGCAAGTTACAGGTGGTTTGTGATTTCCCTAGAAAAGGCAGGCACTAGATGAGAATTCTTTCTTAAAGAAAATGCTGGGGGGCTGAAGAGATGGCTCAGAGGTTAAGAGCGCTGTCTGTCTGCTCTTCCAGAGGTCCTGAGTTTGATTCCCAGCAACCACAGGGTGGCTCACAACCATCTGTAATGAGATTTGGTGCCCTCTTCTGGTGTGTAGGCACGAATGCCAGAATACTGTACACATAATAAATAAATCTTAAAAAAAAAAAAAAAAAGATGTGGTTTTGGTTTAGGTAGCCCTCCCCCTCAGAGGGCACTGCTTCAGGAGTCATGATTGTTCCTGGGAAGCTCCAGAGTAAAAACTAAAAAAAAAGAAAAAAAAGAGAAAGAATGTGACTGTGGTCTGTCAGGACACCACATTGTCCCTGTACATGCAGTCAGTGGAATGTCTCACTCTTTCCTGGAAGTCATTAACTCCAAAATAGCCTTCTGGCTTAAAGCTAAGAGCTAAGAATACATTTTCATTTTAGAATACATGTTCTGAATTGTTACCTCACCACCATTAATTTCAGAAGGCAGTGCTACAGACAGTAACTCTAATATTTGTGACTCAAATGCTAGCAATGTGGATAACATTTCCCCATTGATGATTGCTGACCTGGAAACTGTCCCTCATTACAGACCTCTAACTCAGCCATCTCCTGTTGTCTGTCCTTCCTTACATGCCTGTGACATAGATTGCATTTATTTTATACTTATTTTAATCCTTTTCTGTAATGAAAGTGAAAGAGAAATGCATGGATAGACTTTCTTTCTCCACATTAAATTGAAAAAAAATTTTTTTTTCCTATGTGGGTGCTGGAGAGATGACTCAGTGTGAGCTGCTCTTGCAGAGGACCCAGGTCAGGTGCCCAGCATCCACAATGGGCAGCCTATAGCCACCTGGGTCTTCTGGACACACACACACACACACACACACACACACACACACACACTCACGCATGCACAAACAAAAGCTAAAAATCTTAAAGCAGTTCCGTCATGTATAGCTTTTGTATGCTTTTGTATGTGGCATGTGCTTCTGTGTTCTCTGTGGATTAGAGACAGTATATTAAACAATCTAAGCATATGTGTCACCCAGGGAAGAGATATTGTATTAGTTGTATTTGTGTCACTACAAATAACTGATTAAAAACAGTGAAGGAAGGCTTAGTGCTCAGGGCTTCACCGGGTGTAGTCAATGGCTTCTGGGTGCCATGCTTTGGGCAGAAGGCCTGCATGGAGGAAGCAGCTGGCAGAGGAGTGCTTCTGTTTGTCTGGAGACAGGAAGCAGAGGTGGGGAGAGAACGGATCCCGGGGAAAGATCAGTATATGCTCCAAGCAACCTTCCAGCTGGCCCTACTTGTTAAAGCTCCACATGGCACCACCACTGGGACCCAGTGTATAACACATGAACCAGCAGGGACATTTCATGTACAGACTGTAACACATCTATCAGCAACCACAAGAAAACACAGGACAACTCAAGAGGTTGTATGGGGGGGGGAGTGGGTGGAGATGGGGGATGGCATCTTCAATCCCTAAGTAATCATGCAGCTCATAATTTAAGACTTCAGGAACAGGCTCTGCCTATAAGCAGCAGTGTCCTGCCATGGTGGAGATGCTTTAGTGTCATGCATGTAAGGCACATGTCACTGAAGAAATTAGGTCTGGTGCATTGAGCATATGCAGGGGCCATGGGGGCAATCGTGTCCTCTCAGCTAAAGGCTATGGGAAGCTGGGGCTGAACACTGTTTTGTTCCTTTAGGAACTTGGCTTCTTTCCACCATGTAACAAAAATTCCACCTGGAGATAATGACTGGCTGGCAAAGGTCTTTAAAAAGACAGTCGCTACCAGCCCAGGTTCTGGATTGAGCTTCAAGGCTGATGTCCACTTGTTCCGGAGCCATGGTTATTTTCACTGCTCTGAACACTGATTTCAGTGTCTCTGCTGTAGGGAAGTCTCTACGTGATGGGATTAAATAAGAGAATTCATTGATGATGTCCAACAGGTAATACATTAAAACCACTGGCCAGCTTTGAAAAGAAGAGCTTCGATATTCTCTCAGATAAATAATGGAAGATGACATAATTCACAATGATCTCATTCAGGAAAACCTCAAGTGTGACTGTATTTTCTCCTTGAAAATTCTGCGTAAATCTTTAGTTGTCTAGAGCATGTTGGACAACCCCTGCAGATAGAATACTGGGTTTTCAGTATTGGAGATCCATGACGTTGGTGTTCAGGGAAAGGGGGGCCCTAGTAACTACTGGTCACTTGCTGTTTCTAAGTGGTCTTTTACTTAAGACCTCCAGTGCCCCCACCAAGTACGTAGACAGTTGCAGTGTGCTGATTTAGTGCTGAGACCCTGATGTCCAGACATGAGAGTGAAGTTAAGCTTGTTATTTTTCCAGTCAGGACTTGAACCCAGAGCCCCTCAGTGCCAGCGGTCTTATTTGTATCCACTTTGTTGTGTCATTTCAGCACACACAGCCAGTGGCATTTGTGGCTGCATTTTGATATATAGTCTGTGTCCTAATATCTTCTTGTTAAATTCTTACTAGTGGTGGTGGAATAAAGAAATTGAAAATGCTTAATGGAATAAATATTAATATTTTAAATGTAATTAAAACAGTCACTGTGGGAGCACCACACTGAAATTATTATTTTAGTCAATAGAGAAATGTAATTTACTGTTTTCCTACAAAGCCCTTCAGAGATGAAGTTCATGTGCTTGGCCTTGGCTGCTAATCTGGCCAGCCTGTCTGTACTTCTGTCTGGTTGAGTTTATGGAATTGTAGTGCAGAACTTCCTCTTCTTCCAGTGGCACGTCACAGTTGTGCGCACACTGTGGCTTCTGTCAGTGGTTTTGCCATGTTTTTTAAAGTCAGATTTTATGTGTCATGGATTTGCTGAGTCTAATCACGATCATGTTTTAAATCACCAGCAGCTGCTTAGATAAATCAAAGCAGTCTTTTGAATAAATTAGATCCATTGCCTTAAATTTGAGAAAATTGAGCTGTGAAAGTAGGATCATGATGGGAGGTCAAAGCAATAGTAGAGTTAAACTCTAAAGAATGAAGCCTTCAGATTGTGTCCTTTGTGAGTAGGTTTCCTATATTAGTGAAATGATTTTGATAATATTTCACGTCTAGGCTTAGTAAGTACATTCTCTTTAACAAGGTGATCTCTCCTTGTGAGGCCTTAGACGGAATCTGAGGTTGTCTGTAGCTGGAACAATACTTGGTGTAGCATAGAGTCAATCAAATACGTTTCTTTCTTTTTTGTGTATATGTGTGAGTGATTTGTGAGTGCACCTGTGTGTGTCCATGTACATGAGAGTGTGTGTGAGTGTGCATGTGTATGTTCATGTGTATACATGTATATGAGTGTGTGTCTATTTGTGGGTGTGTATATCCGTGTGCACATGTGCATGAGAGTATGTGTGTGTGAGTGTGCATGTGTGTGTCCATGTGTGTGCGTGAGAGTATGTGTGTGTGAGTGTGTGTATGTCTGTGTGTGCATGTGCATGAGTGTGTGTGAGTGTGCATGTGTGTGTCCGTGTGTGTATGTACATGAGTGTGTGTCCATATGTGTGCGTGAGAGTATGTGTCTGTGAGTGTGTGTGTATGTTGGTGTGTGCATGTGCTTGAGAGTATTGTGAATGAGTGTGCATGTGTGTGTGTCCATGTGTGTGTATGAGAGTGAGTGTGTGTGTATGTCTGTGTGTGCAAGAGTGTGTGTATGAGTGAGTGTGCGTGTGTATATCCACATGTGTGCATGTGCATGAGGGTTTGAGTGAGTGTGCGTGTGTGTGTGTGTGTGTGTGTGTGTGTGTGCAGGTACAGAAGTGA